ATTCTAGAAAACCTAAATAGCTCTTGTTCTTCCACATTCCCTTTCTAATAAATAATTAAAATAATATTATTAAAATTCTAGAAATCCTAAATAGCGCTTGTTCTTCCACAATCCCTTTCTAATAAATAACTTACAATTCAAAAAATAATTAAAATAATATTATTTAATTAATTAGATGTTTAGTTTAGTTTAGGGGTAAAATGGTATCCAACTTTTTATCTTTAGAGCTTTTCACTTTTAATAATATATGATGATGCAATATTTATGATGGTCGCGTGAATATATACCTTTAAAATACACTATTAATAGTGGAGGGGGTTAAAGGTCCTGCCCAAAGTTTGAGATTATAACAACAATTTCTATCAAAGTTCGGATATATTTAAGACTTTATTCCCTAAAAATAACAATCAGCTAAATATCAGGATCATATAATCTAGGGAAAAAGGTTTGAAATATATCCAAACTTTGACCGAAATTGTTGTAATAATCCCAAACTTTGGGCAAGACCTATTACCCCGCACTATTTAATACTAGTGTATTTTAAAGATATATAGGTGTCCATGTGGATATCATAAACATTGCATCATTATAAATAGTAACTTGTCCAGCTGGGCACTTATATATCCTTAAAATACACTATTAAATAGTGTAGGGGGTAATAGATCCTATCCAAAGTTTGAAATTATTACAGTAATTTCGGTCAAAATTCAGATATTTCAGACTTTTTCCCAATAATTTATTTCTTGCTTACGTGAAGTTGTGAATATAGGAAATCTTAGCCTCCAATCTTTTTTTCAGGTTCATATTATTATAACAATAATGTTGCCCTTTTCATTTGAATTTGATTGAATATATTATATTTTGGAATTCAAAGAAAACAAAAATAATAATAATAAAATAGATTTAAAATTTATTTTTAGTTAAAAAAAAAAAAGTGAAACCACACTTGACGACGTGTGTAGTATAGTGTGTGTCACGTTTGATTTTCTTCTAAAGAAAAGATTAAAATTTCTTCCATTTTGTGATTAGTGAATGTGTGTTGTGTAACAGAGTCTTATAAGGTTGATTTGAAGGATTGACTCCTATTGACTTGCTATTAACAATATAATGAAAATTTAGCAACAATTATTCTTTCTATTATGACTTTTATTTCGTTTTGTGAAACACAACCCAAATAATGACTTTTTTTCTTTTTGCTACTTATTTTCCTCCTTTTAATCTGTTTTCACATTTTATTTGTTTTAGTGCTATATATAGTGGAGTAACTTTGGTCACTGGAAATACAACACACAAATTAATATGGAGAAGCACATCTTCTTATTGATTCTTCTCTTTCTAATTCAATTTTCTATATCACTTGCTTCCTCTAATGATCTTCCTAATTTGCAACTTCAAGGCACAATTTCCCCATCTTTGGCAAATTTGTCCTTTCTCAGTGTTCTCAATCTCCAGAACAACAGCTTCCACAGTGGCATCCCTTATGGACTTGGCCACATGCCTCGCTTGCGAGTTATTGATGTTAAAAACAATCAGCTCAACGGAAGTATACCAACAAGTCTATTTCAAAACCGGAGAGTTCAAGTAATTTCATTGGCTTTCAATGAACTCAGTGGTGAAATGCGGAGAGGCCCATGGTATGTACCCCAACTCAGAGTCTTAAATCTCGGGAACAATAGCCTCACTGGTATAATCCCTCCTTATGTTGGAAATGCCACAAAATTGATGAACATCAATTTGTCTGGGAATAGAATCAATGGTAACATTCCAATGGAGATCAGTAATCTTAGCCAACTTGCATTTTTTCCTTGTTCGATAATCAATTAACAGGTTCCATTCCTCCAACACTGTTTAATAGCTCGTCACTACTTGGCATATCTCTGTCATTCAATGGCCTTTCTGGTCCTCTCTTGCTCGATGAAGGGAATATTGTGTCAAATCTGAAACATTTAAGTATGTCTAACAACCAAATTTCTGGTTGCATTCCTTCCAACATATGCCAACTCACAGAGCTCAAACTTTTGTCCGTATCTTTCAACAATATCACTGGAGACATACCTAGAAATATTGGTTGTTTATCCAAACTCAAAAGGTTTTATATTGGTGAAAACCCAGTAGAAGTGACTATTCCCACTTCATTGGGAAATATTTCTACTCTGCAATATCTTGATTGTGTCGACAATTGGATGAAGGGGCAAATTCCTCAAGAATTAGGGAAGCTATCAAATTTGAGAGAATTAAGCTTTGCCAATAATTCTAATCTTATTGGTCAAATTCCAGAGGCTATTTTCAACATATCTTCTTTGGAAGTGATCAATTTTAGTTTCAATAACCTCTCGGGGAGAATTCCAACCACTACAGGTCTTCATCTTCCCAGCCTTAAAGAACTTTACTTGGGAGACAATCAGCTTGAAGGGGAAATTCCATTGTTCATAACAAATGCTTCCAAGCTTCAGATACTGGCGCTAAATGATAACTCTCTCAAAGGAACTATTCCTAACAATTTGGGGAATCTTTGTGAGCTATAAATACTGCTCCTACATACTAATCAACTTACCAATGAACCAAGAGAGCATGAGTTGAAATTCTTCAATTCTTTGGTGAACTGTAGGATGTTGAGATATCTAGAAGTGGGTAACAATCCATTGAGCGGCGTTCTACCAAATTCTATTGGGAATCTCTCATCTACTATTGAAAAAATTCATTTAGTAGATGCACACATCAATGGCCTCATCCCCACAAGTGTAGGCAACATGACCGGTCTTACATCCATAGACATTCAAGACAACAACTTGGCAGGGAATATTCCTTCTGAGTTTGGTAAGCTTAAACAACTCCAAGGGTTGTATCTAAGTAACAATAAATTGCAGGGACATATTCCAGAAGCGGTATGCCATTTATCTAATTTGGTTAAATTAACTCTGCAAGTTAATGAGCTCTCTGGATTAATTCCAGAATGCTTTGGAAATCTTAGCATGCTACAAAAGATTTATTTGGATTCTAATAAATTTTCATCAAAATTTCCGTTGAGCCTTTGGAAGATGAGTGGTCTTCTCTATCTAAGTGTGTCACGAAATTCAATAGAGGGAGAAGTTCCATCAGATATTGGAGGAATGAAAGCCATTGTAGAACTATATCTTTCCAGTAACCACTTTTCAGGAATGATACCAAGCACATCCGAGGAACTCCAAAACCTGCAGTATCTTGACCTATCGAACAATTCATTTTTTGGCAAAATTCCATTATCCTTTGCTAATTTGATAAGCTTAAAAGACTTGGATTTGTCTTTAAATGTGTTGTCAGGTACTATTCCTAAGTTTTTGGAAAAACTCTCATATCTTAAAACCATTAATGTTTCATTTAATGATTTAGAAGGTGAAATACCGAGTGGTGGCATGTTTGCAAATTCCACTTTGCAATCATTTCTCGGGAATAAAGGTCTTTGCGGAATGCACATATTGGAGATTCCTTCTTGTGCTATCACTAATCCTGGAAAACAATCAAAGGTTAAGGAGGTTGTGCTAAAAATTGTTACTCCAGTGGTTACTACATCCTTTCTGATATTCTTGTTCGTTTCAATTTGGATAATGAAACGACAGAAGAAAGGAAAGTCCAAAGATGTTGAAAAGGTACTGGAGATTAGGACTCACCAATTAGTTTCTTATCATGAGATTCAACGAGCAACAAATAATTTTGATGAATCCAATTTAATTGTGAGGGAAGCTTTGGCTCTGTGTACAAAGGCATTTTATCTAGTGGAACTGTAGTGGCCATAAAGGTTCTGGATTTGGAAAATGAGCAAGTTGTAAAACCTTTTTCAATAATTCTATATGTGATGTACATGAGTGAATATATATAGAGTCTAACTTAAGAGTCCTATAGTTACACAAGTACAGTAACAAAACCAACACAAACTAGGAGATAAGAGACTAATCCTAGTTGGACTACAAACGCTGCATCATCTGTCTTCATTCCCCCTCAAGTTGAGCAGGGTGCTGAACTACTGTCAACTTGCTCTTTAAATCAAGGAAACGAGACTTTGACAAGGGCTTGGTGAGCACATCAGCAACTTGATCATGAGTACTCACATATCGAACTGAAAGTGACTTAGCATGAACCTTATCGCGAACAAAATGAAAATCAATTTCCATATGTTTGGTACGAGAGTGGAAAATGGGATTAGCTGTCAAGTAGGTAGCACTAAGGTTATCACACCAAAGGATAGGAACAGTAGATGTGAAGCAGCCTATCTCCCGAAGAAGGAATTCAACCCAGGTAATTTCAGATGTAGCTGCTGCTAATGCCCGATATTCAGCCTCAGTGTTGGACCTAGAGACAGCTCGTTGCTTACGTGAAGACCACGAGATCAGGTTATCACCAAGAAAAATAGCAAAACCAGTGGTGGATTTTCGATCATCCACATCTCCCCCCAATCCGAATCAGAATATTCGTGAAGCAAGTTATTTGAAGTACGTTTGAAGAACAGGCCATGGGAAGCAGTAGCTTTTATATAACATAAAATACGTTTCACAGCTATCCAGTGAACATCCAGGGGACAATTCATGAATTGGGATACTTTGTTCACAGCATAAGCAATGTCTGGTCGAGTGAAGGTGAGGTACTGAAGTGCCCCAACGGTGCTGCGATATAAAGTAGGATCATTGAAAGGAACACCAGAAGTAGAGGATAACTTCGACGTAGGTTGCATGGGTGAGCAAACAGGACTACAAGCAGCCATATGTACTCGATTAAGAAGGTCTTCAACATATTTACGTTGAGACAAAAACAATCCCTCACTGGTCCAGGTTGCTGCAATGCCCAGAAAATAAAAAAGAGTGCCAAGGTCACGAACAGCAAACTGGGCCTGAAGTTGTGTACCGAGTGACTTAATTCGAGCAGGGTTATTACCTATTAACAATATATCATCGACATACACCAAACAAAACAGCTTATCAGAGGCAGTGGATATGTAGAATAAACAGCTATCAGTCTTGGAACCCAAGAAGCCAAGAGAGAAAAGCGCATCAGTTAATCGTTTGTTCCACATACGAGGTGCTTGTTTCAGACTGTAAAGAGAGTGTTTCAGTAGACAAACATGATCAGAACGAGATGGATCAACGAATCCAGGAGGTTGCGACATATAAACAACCTTATCTAAATGCCCATGGAGAAATGCATTTGAAATGTCCAGTTGTGTGATATTCCAACCATTAATCATAGCTAAGGAGAGTAACAATCTGATTGTTGTCGGCTTCACCACCGGACTAAATGTGTCCACAAAGTCAATTCCAGGACGTTGATGATACCCCTTGGCAACTAAGCGTGCCTTGTGACGATCCAGAGACCCGTCAGATTTCAACTTTGTTTTGAACACCCAACGACAACCTATTACAGTCTGAGAAGATGATGGAGGTACAAGTTCCCAGGTTCCATTCTGAATCAAAGCATTATACTCGTTAGTCATCGCACGACGCCAATGGTCCTCTTTTAAAGCTTGTGAATAACAAGTAGGTTCCTCACTAGAATGCGTAATAGCAGACAAGGAAAAGGGAATCTTAGGCTTCAACGAACTTGTTTGACTACGAGTAACCATGCGTTGAACAGGAGGTAGTGGAGCCGGAGATGAATTATTATCAGATGGAGCAGTAGGCAGTGGTGAGTGGATGTTTGTTCCCACTGAAGGTTGGTGCAAAGCTGGACTAGACGAAGGTAACAGAGAAGCGATAACACTTCTCAGAGGAAGCATGAGGGGTTGGTTGAGAAGGCAACAACGGTAGTTGTAAAGTTATTGGGTCACTAACAGAATTGGTCGATGAGCTGGGAACCTTTGCATCCTGTGAGGAAAATGGAAACACATTTTCATCAAAAATGACATGACGAGATACAAAAACATTTCCTGAATCAGGGTCAAAACATTTATACCCCTTATGAATTTTACTATATCCTAGAAAAATACAACGTTTAGACCTAGGTGACAATTTGTCCTTTGCGTAAGGACGAAGCCAAGGAAAACAAAGACAGCCAAAGACAAGTAATAAAGAGTAATCAGGATCTGTTTGAAATAGAACAAAAAATGGGGATTGATGTTGTAGCCGAGGTGTAGATAGTCTATTAATAGTATGCACGGCTGTTTCAAAAGCATTAGTCCAAAAACGAGAAGGAACATTAGAATGATGCAATAGTGCTCTCCCTGTTTCAACAATATGCCTATGTTTTCGTTCCGCACAACCATTTTGTTCGGGAGTATAGGGATAGGAGGTTGTTTGTGTAATCCCATTATCACGTAAATATTGTGTCAAGGCTTGAAACTCACCTCCCCAATCAGCTTGAAAAGATTTAATAGATCGTCCAAAATACTTTTCAACAATAATACGAAATTGGATAAATATAGAAAAAACTTCAGACTTGAAGCGAAGAAAGTAGATCCAAGTGTATTTACTAAAATGATCATAAAAGATGACATAATATCGATAACCATCATTAGAAACAACCGGGGCAGGACCCTACACATCTGAACAAATTAAATCAAGAGGGCCAGATGCCTTAAAAGTAGACTCGCTAAACGGGAATTTATGACTCTTACTAACAGCACAAGCAGTGCATAAACTAGATGGTTTACTAGACATGAAAACAGCAGCCAGTAACGCTTGACGAACTATAGGATAGGATGCATGCGCCAGACGAGCACGCCAACACCAAGAGAAGCAGCAAAGGAAGCTGGTGAGAGTAATTTCGTCACCGGAAGAGAATAGAATCCATCAGTACTCGGGCCGGTGTGTAGTTGTAACATCTGACAATTTGAAATAACTATGAAGAAGCTTGAAATTGGAAATCGTCATTTTTGGAAAAATTCAGAATCTGGAAATTTGGCTAAGTATGGAAAAAGATGAGTTTTTGGCCAACTTTGAACAGTTATAACTCCTAGATCAGGATGATTTAGGTGTAGTTCCAGTTATTTTTGCGAAGCTCGTGGAACGATCTTTCCAACGCCACCAATTTTACTCGATTCCGAGTTCGTATGAGTGAGTTGTGGCCTTTGGAAGTTGGCGGGGAAATCCGTCCGGAAATTTTAAGAGCATTTTGGTCTTTTCCCTAATCAATTCTTTTGGTTATATTTAAATGTTGGACTGATTTTTAGATCAGTTTGTCCCATTTTAAAAGAGTGAGAGTGAGGGTTTTGAGTGAAGAGGAGAAGAAGAGGAGAAGAAGAGAAGAAGAGAAGAAGAGAAGAAAGAGGAGATCAAGCAAGTTTCCGTCAAAGATCGTCGTGGATATCGCCGGGGGTGATCCCTACTAGGTATGTGAGTTCATAGTGTTGGGTTGATCCTTTCCCTCACACGCCAAACTCGTTTTATTTTCGAGAAAAGATTGGTTATGTTGTTGAAGTTGTTGGGTTGTGTTGTTGAAGTCCCTTGTTGATTTGGGACATGTTTCTGATTGTGTTTTTGAATTGAAATCTATTGTATGTTGAGGGTTTATGATTCTAAGTATTTTGGGGCTGGAACCTTTGAGGTTGAGGAGGTTTAGAGTTGGAGAAATAAAGGAGAAAAGTCGAAGTTTTCGGGGAAAAGGGGAGGCACGTCGCGCCCCAAGAAGTGTTCTGACCTTCTCCCCTTAGGGCGCCGCGCCTTGCAGTGAGCCACAGCTGCCTCTCTGAGCTTCGAGGGCTGGCGCCCCACGCCTTGCAGAGCGCCAAGGACGCCAAGTTCCCCCATTATTTTCACACTTTCTCATGCATGTTCCTTGGTATTGTATCTATGTTTCATAGTTGTTTCCGACACTCCAAAGTACGTCTAAACATCAAGAATCCCTCCATAACATGTGATCAAACACCTTGAATTCAAAATCCAATTCAAGGAGAGTTATTTTCTAAGTCAAGTGAAGTCAAGAGTTAAGCCTAGAAGTTAAGTCAAAGCAAGTTTTTCAAAGTTGTCAAGAGCCTTTATTGAATGTTTTTACTTCGTTGTAAGACTCAAGTTTCAAGTCAAGTAAAAAGGGTATAGAGTTTCAAGCAAAGTGAAGAGTCTCAAGTTTCAAGTTAAGTCAAGAGCATAAAGTCGAGTCCATTTCTCAAAAGTTATTAGGAAACTATGTATTTCCCAAAGAAGTTTCTAAATGTTTTTTTTACATTTGAGTAAGAAAGGAACATCGATTCCAAGAGAGCCTTTGGGCTAGATTTTGAGTAATTATCTCAAACTAAAGAAAGATGTGTTTAAAACACTTATGAGCTAAAGTATATTTTTGGGAGTAGTCTTGAGCACCGAGTTGGGGACACGAGTTCATATTAACTCAACTCTCCATAAGAACCATGTGGCCAACATGGGATTTAACGGGTCATACTTTTTAGATGATCCTGTAAGTTAAGCTAGTGGATCCACTTAGTAAAGTTAGATTCATATATCACGGCCAGGTATAGGATGGTCCTTGGGCAACGTGAGGTAAAACGTTGTATCACCACTAGGGCTCATAGTGGTGGTTTGTCGGTTAAAGAATCTCCCACTAAAGTTGTATTACTTTTATATAAGTAAAGTCGAGTTGTTATTGCTTTAATCATTAACGAACTAAGTTGTTTACAATGTTTTAAAAGCTTTATATATCGCATGTGTCTTTTTGCCTTATATATATTGAGTTCAGTTAAGTTATTCTTGAGTCGTACAGGGCCAAGGTAAGTGTTCTCTTGTATTCCTTTCAAGCTTAAGTTGTTGTT